CTCGCGCCCCGTGAGGGCTGAGGGGGCTCGCGCCCCGTGAGGGCTGAGGGGTCTCGCGCTCCGTGAGGGCTGAGGGGTCTCGCGCTCCGTGAGGGCTGGCGAGGTTGTGGTTCCCGGAGAGCTCGGGAAACGCCGGACTTACTGAGAGGAAGGGGGAAAAAAAATTATTTTCTTTCCTTCGGAAAACTTTAGGAGATGACAAAGTCCCGAAGATGCTGCGCAGAGCGCTGGCGCAGCTGTCACTGAGCAGYATGAAGTCTGCGGATCTCTGCATAGGGCGGCCGGCCCTGCTCACGTCCGCTGATGGGCGGCAGGAGGTGAGACCCTTTATTATCTCTATTAGTGCTTTTCTCATGTTACCAGCGTGTTCCTGTTGAATTCAATGGGACCAGCATGAATCACGCATTGAGAAAGATGGTGAACATGCTTCTTCATTGTTTCCTACACTGTAGTTACATCTCTATTCTCAGTATTGGAAAAATCCATGCAGCTTACTTTTTTCTATAAGTTTGTGATTTAATTATATATTATGTGTAATATTTATAATATGGGATTTAATGATATAATTATAAATTTATAATTATAATTTATGGGTTATATGTCTTATGCACACACATCTCTTTTATTTGCAAATAGAATAGTTTTTCACTGATATGTAGTGTTTTCTAATCAGCACAGTGTATACCCTTGAGTCATCTGCAGAATGTGCAGACAGTGCTTTTTATCACCTTTGCAGGAAAAATATCACCTCTTCCATCCTGAAAAGTGCCGTGGATTATATCATAAGAGTTCAATGTTACTTGTGTCTTTCTCAGTGGCACCAGGTTTTAACCTAACCCTTCATATTAAAACACTGCTTATTTTGACTGGAAAAGGGAGGGGCAAAACCTCAAGTGACAGGTGTTTGCTTTGAAAACCCTTCCTAGGTCTGCACTGCTTGGCCCACTGCAGGCTTTCCAGGTGGGAAGATTGGGCTGCATGAAACCACACAGAAGAGCCTGAAAGTAAATCCTGGCGATGTTGTCACTGTGCAGCCTGTGACTGGTGCAGTCATCCAGGCAGAGGAAGTCGATGTAAAGTTGAGGTATGCAACTTGTTAAAACCTTGTTGAAGTTTTTATTCAACCACTTCCATTCATTCTCTTATCATTTCACAGAGTTGGCATTGGGATAATTCTAGAGTCTGATTATAATTATTTACTAAATAAAGTTACTTTTGAAAGTGTCCTAGTAGTTATATTTTTATAAATTAACTTAATAGTTCCCATGTAGTCAGTTGCAGATTTTTTTTTCCATGAAGAAATTCCTTCTGATGTCCAGAAAACCATCATTTCATGTAAAAAATAGGAAGATAAATTATTAAAAGAATAAATTGAAGTCCCTTTATCCAAGTTCTGCCTATTTTTCTAGATGCTTTGCAGGTGTAGTTCATTCTCTGCCAATTAACGCCTCTGGGTTATGCTTGCATGCATAATTTAGCTTTTTCTTCCAGTTAAAAATAATCAATCCCCAGCTTCAGACCTCAACAACGTAACTGAGTATGTTTACTCATCAGGAAAGGCTATGATATTTTAAGATCTCTCCTCTGAATTAGCTGAAATCACCTGTTTTCCATCAGGTTGCCTTCTTGATCATTAAAATCGAGAAAAGGGCTTTGRTTTGCAGGCTTAGGGCTCCCCCCGTTGTTCACACTTTGAGTTGCAGCAGCGTCTGCTTTACATGCCTCAGCTGCTGTTCCCTTTGTGGTGCGATGATTTTCAGTGTAYAGGTGTCAGTGCTTAGAAAAGTTGTGGACTTCCATCTGCAGAATGGATGTAGTGAGCCTTAYCTATGAGTCAGTTAAATGAATGACTGGAAAATACCTTACGAGGAAAACTTGTGTTTGGATAGTGGATAGGCAAATGCTCAAGGAACTGTTTTAGCCAGTAAACGTGTTCGTGTGTTTGCAGAGCTGAAAGAGACCTGCCTGATCTAAATCCTTTTCAATTCACTACCTGTAGCAATGATTATCCTGTCTGGTCTGATGAGATGCCTGCATTACCTATTTTAATGTGACCCTAAGAAATAAAAAACAGAACTTAGGATTTTGTGAATTACAGCATTTCATTTGGAGAAAGTAGCCCCAGTTAATTAGGTGCACTTCTTTTGTTACTATGTGTCTCATATGTTGAGGGTTAAGTCCATATGATATGAAGACTGTGAAGTGCTGTAGACTCTAGTTGGGTTTGTAACTGCTTAGAAAAACAATTTTTTTCCTTCCTACCACAGGGACAAAGATGCCACGGTTAATGCTGAGGAAATGTCTGTCTGTCTGCTGAGAAACCTTGGTATGAGTTTTGCTGCTCCTCTTTTGAGATTTTTTTGTGGTAGATCATCAAGTTCCTGATGGACATTTTCCCTTTATTTTATTAATCCAAGGCTTTTGGCAAAATGGGGGATGTTGTCTTGTTCACACTTCTTTCAGGGGTCTGTCTTGGGCTAGCTAATTATGCCATGCTGTAAATATCTAATTTGCATTWATTTGGTTCCTTTTCTCCTGTCCTTTACTTGTATTGCTGGCTCAAGTTAGGAGTGTTCAGCACTCATTATCAGAGTGCAATACTACACATTAAAAACAAGTTAAAGAATTAATATTAACTTGAAATCCCAGTCTCTGAATCCTTATTTTTTAAGTTGGTGGTAAATAAGTAAAATTGCTCTTCCTTGGGTGGTAGGTAAAAAGGAAAAGTAAGTTATTCAAGGTAGTGGTACTTACAACAAAATCAAAATTTTTATTTCTTGCAATATTTATTCAGAAAATCTCCCTTAATATGAAGTTTAAAAGGCTCAAATTAATATCGAGTTCAGTACGAGAGAATATATATGATACTGATAAATGCGTATCCAGTACTGTCTGTTTGTGCAGAAAAGGATTATTCAAAGTCGCTGAAATGATCTCATAATTACCTCTTGTTATAGTAATTTGCAGCACTCTCAAAGCTCCTTGATAATTATTCTGGTGCAAGAATGTCTGAATGGTAATTGCTGCCAAAGTAGATTGAAATATTGTTATCTTTSTCTTTTTTTCTTCTGTAATCTTCTCGTAGATGGGAAAATAGTACTACCAGGAAACCTCTTGGCTTTCACTTACTATGGCAAACTTTGCAACATTGTGGTGATGAAAGTGAAGGGGACTGATGGTGCAGAGCTGATTGCCCAGGGCAGTGCCATTCCTAGTGATTCCAATGAGGCAGACCTTGAGAGATCTGATTTGGAGACAAGTGCCTTAGATTTGTCCTTACAGCTCAGCAGGATGGATATTGGTGATGGTCCAGAGGTTGTTTCCATGAGCACCCCGAACAAAGCCATGGATCCAGGCTCAGCGGTCACACCCAGCGGTCCGGAATCCAGCGAGGGAGATGGTGCAGACCTCACTCGGGATTTGGAWCTGGCTGGGAAAGGCAGCAATGAAGGACTCCCACTAACAGGCCAGATTGGAGCMGTGAGCAATACAGATTGTTTTTACTTCATTTCTTCAAGAACTAAACTCAATTTTATTGAACCAAGGACCAGTGTAGCAGCAGATGGCGAGTGGGAGTCCCGGGTCACCTATGACATGATAGGAGGTTTAAGCAGCCAGCTSAGAACTATCAGAGAAACAGTTGAACTGCCCTTGAAGCAACCTGAACTGTTCAAGAGTTAYGGTATGAGGCCTGAGAGTTGGCTTTCTTCATTTTGATATTCGCTTTCTTCTTTAACATGGGTTTTTTCATGGTTTTTTTTTTTAAACACTAATTACTCCAGAAATATGCACTGAATTTAACACTGATCCAGTAAATGTGTGTGTCCAAACAATGTCAAACTGCTTTATAATTGCACTGTATGGATACTATGAAGATGTTCTAGTTAGCTTGTATAAAAAACAACTGAACAGGGAAGAACTGTGTGTCTGTACAGAAATTTAGGCATGGATGAGCAGAATTTATGGCAAGTGGGAAAGACTTTGGTGCTTGGGCATTTGGAAGGTACAATTGTTTGTGTCATCATAAGATTGTAATTTATTTTGGTAGAATCAATCCTATTTTTTTAGTGGAGAAAAACTCAGATTAGTTCTTCTGCTGTTTTTAAGGTCTTTTGAGGCCATTTACTCAAATTGTTCAGTATGTTTAGCATGGAATTAGAGGGTGGGAAACCAAATAAAATTACTCTTGCCGTACATAACATTATAGCTGATATTTATATAAATTTAGAGGATTGTTGTGACTCTGTTTTTGTGTGTTTATCACAAATGGATATGTACTTTGTTTAGGTGGGCGTTGTTGTGAGACAAGGCTCTTACCTATAAATATTTTAGTAATATCATGTCCTGGAGGCCCTTTATTTCTCTCTTAACCACACCCATGTTGCAGAGAGGAGGTGATTTCAGTTGGGACARTTTGCATCACAGCTGTTTCTTGGCCATGATCTACAGGTGACAATGGGCTGTTGTGTGGCATCTCCATCCATTTGATCCAGCCCCAGCATCACTGTGTGGTTTTGTGTCAGCAGAAAGTGTTTGCTTCTGCGTGTGTGTTCTGCATACTTAGTGCTTAAAGCTTGAGCAGATTCTCTACTAATTACGTGATAGATGATGATGTTTCCTTAGTAGCTAGAAACTTTTAACCCCCATCCAAACGTTGGGAGTCCTTGTTTGCTTATGGGCGGGAGGCTGGAGCTGGGCAGATCTTGTGATTCCATGACTCCGGTCTTGCCAGTGCCAGAAACGCCACAAGAGGGAGCAGCACATACTTTAATGGACTGTTGTCAAGGAACCTGTCTGTAGAGATACTTYGACTTCTATCCTTTGTCAGTCAGCAGATAATTTTTTCCCTTTCCCAGTGTATTAGTTTCTAACATTTGGACTTGTGGCCTGTCCTTGAGGCAACATTCCCTGTCTGATTCCCAGTCCCACTGACGTTTCTTTGGTTGTGTTTCCCCGGTGTCTCTTGTGCTGGGGTTAGCCCTTTGTCAAACATTTATCTCTGCTTTTTGCTTTCTMATATTTCAGCTTCTGTTTTTGGCTTTTGTGTCTGTTTAATTTGGCTTTGCTGGTCTGAAACTTTTTTTTGGTGGGCTCTGTGTGGGCTCATGATTATAGTAGTGTTTCTTGCAGTTACCTGTATTTTCTGTCCAGCTTCAAGTGTACACAGCAGGAACTTKTTCTTCCAAAGTCCCTTATGTTCTGTGCCTGCATGTTTCTGGCTCTTTGGCTCTTAATATTTGCCATTGGATAGGCAAATTCATCCTTTTAGTGTGTATTTTTCATAATGTTGCAAACATTCTTAAGGCAAACCCCACAGTATTTCTAGAACTTTTTGAAGGGTTGAACAGAAGTGATTTTCTGGTGTGGGAAATGTGTTATTATGACACTGTAAGAATACTGAATAACCTCATAAAGTATATACATGGACATGAGGTACTCATTAGGTACTGCATTAATTTTTTGAGGAAATTTGGGGAAAGTTTATAATAAACTACTGAAAAATATGATTTAAATAAGTGCTTTTTAAACAGAGTCTATTGGACTTTAAAAACTGTGGATGTCCCATTTAAGATCTTTTCACTGAAAGCCTACAGTTCCATCCTAATGACRTATCTGTTACAGGAATTAATKCTGAAGTCAAGTTATTGGTAATAAYGGGGACAGTGAAATGTGCAAGTGCAGGTTGAGTGTGGTATTTAGGGCAGTAACTTCTTGTCTCTGTCTGCCTGTGCTTCTGTGAAGGGATCCCTCCTCCTCGGGGAGTGCTGTTCTATGGCCCTCCAGGAACTGGGAAGACCATGATTGCCAAGGCCATTGCCAATGAGGTCGGCGCTCACGTTACTGTTATTAATGGCCCTGAAATAATAAGCAAGTAAGTYCACCCACTTTATTTTCTTTAATTCTGTAAATATAGTAGCCCAAAATCTTTTGTGGCATCTCTTCATTGGGGATAGATGTAGTGTTTGCTGTGGGTTATCTGCCCAAAAGAGTCAGAAACAAATGGGAAAGAAAGAAACAAATCTCTCAAGCGGGGTTTATGTTTCTTTGTGTTAAAAAAGGTTTATTGGACCTGGCCAAGAAWTTTCTGTAAGGCATGAACTAAATTAAAGAGGGGATTAAAACTGCATCTGCAGTTGCATGTAGGTTAGTTCTGCAGGAAGAAGAGGAACTTTTTAAAGCGTCCTTGCAATTAAGGTGACACTGCACAGACTGATGTGTCCCAAGAAGTAAGTTCTTTGCTCTTCAAAAATGTAGATAAAATTGTTTCTAACAGAGAAGAGAAGCAGTTCCTTTTCATCTTTTTTCCTGATTACTAGATGATTCTAACTTTACCTGTGTCCCATTTTGCCTTAATTTCCTGTTTTTGTGGAAATAAAGATTATTGTAGATTTGMATTGACTTTGGGACTTTGCAAGTGTGCATTATGGCTTTTTGTACCTCATGAGTAGTAATTTTCCTAGTCACCTGAAGAAGACAAAAAAGGAAACATTTCTATTAAAACATTTTAATTCTCACAGATTTTATGGGGAGTCTGAGTCRAGGTTACGTCAGATATTCGCTGAGGCTTCTGTCCGGTACGTTCCTTTGGCGAATTTTTTTTTGCAGTGTCTGTTCCAGGCTTAATGTTTTAAAAAGAAAAATATTTGCAAGAATCCTTGAATTGTGATTTTTTCATCCAGTGTTTTTTAGGAGATACATTTGTTTATGTAGAGCTTAGCTAGAAGGAAAGCAGTGAAATTCTAGGATGCYTGTTAAAGCCTTTTGGACCCTGACCTTTTTAAGGGGCTGTTACACATGGCGCCAAATCACTCAGCCTGTGTCGTTGGTGYGTTGTGTGCTTGTTTCAACAGATGRAAGCATGAACCACAATTYCCCCTGGATCCAGAGTTTTCTTTCTAGCTTTTATCTTTGGAGGCCAGCTCTAAATGAGTGTTGGCACTGGATATAGCCTGCCTCTAGAGTAGGTGCCATCTTGCCCAAATTTGTTTGACCCGGTTAAGGCAAACTGCATGCGGTTGGTGTTCATAGTACCTTAGCAAAGACTATTGCATAGTGAAGGTATTGGTTGTCTAATATATTGTTTGTTTTAGTTTTCTGTTTGAGTAACACTGTATTTAAGACTGAAACTTCCAGTTACCTAAAGGACTGGGATGCTTGTTAGTTTTTGTAGGAACTGGACATTTTYCATGAGCATTTTTGCCTAAGTGTTTTAARTCTTTCCRAGCATCTTGAMATTTTTTCCCTTTRTTTTTTCCTCCCAGTCGGCCCTCAATTATATTTATAGATGAGTTGGATGCRCTGTGTCCAAAGAGAGAAGGGGCTCAGAATGAAGTGGAAAAGAGGATTGTTGCTTCATTGCTGACATTAATGGATGGCATTGGCTCAGTAAGTCAACTCTTAATTGAGACAGTTAATGTGCAYGGGGACTTGCTAAACAAAATAATATTGCTTCTATAGAAGCAACAATTTTGAATGCATTATTTGTAGGGAAAGAGAACAGACTTAGGTGAGATTTTATCTAGTAATTAATGCTTTCTTGGATGCTAAGCAGAGGATGTAGGAGAGGAATGTTTCCTGATAACTGTGAGTTTCTTCCACTCACTGCCTTTTCTTTGCCTTTTCCCGCTCTTGTAGTTTTTGAGATCAAACTGAAATTCAGGCATAGGCTATCATTGAACTAAACCAGGCATTTTTAATTGCTTTGAAATCAATGTCATCAAAATACTTCTGGTGATATGTAGGCTGCATGATTAAAAGCAACAGCAGCTATTTCAAGATTGGCAGGGCAGTATATAGGGCATAAACAAAAGAGTAAATTTAATTGACTTAAGTAAATTATGGTTTAAGCCCRTAAAGTTTGGCAATCTCTCATCTATTATTTTATGATTATTAGCAGGAAAGATGAAAGAAATCTGTCCAGAGTATGAAAATAAATTTCTTCTGATCATGTAGTCTGCAAGTTTCTCATTGTTTTCCTGCATGGCAGCTTGAGTTGCCCAGTCTGGAGCTGTTCACAGGTAGAGCATATTTTGTGGTGGCCAAGGCTGATGGATATTCTTCCTGGAAAAAGTGCATCTTTCACAAAAAGGGAATAGCATTACAAGAGACCTTCTAGMTGATCTTGCCTCACTGTAGAAGTGAAATAGCAGAACTTGAGGGAATTGGTTAGGRTTTTTGACCTTGCTTTTCCTACTGGACTTACAGGAATCTTTATAAGCTGCTGTCACTGCTGGGTTTGATGCCTTAACTGATTTGTTTCCCAGCCTTGTTTATTCAAGATCTGCTGATATAATTTTGTTCTTAGGCCAGTGCTGCATTTTAGCTTAARCACTTCTTTTTCTGTCCTTGGTTTTTACTTTCCTGGTTCAGGAAMGCAGATTCTTGGGGATTAAAGTGGGAGTTTCTCTTGTATTATCTGTACATGCATGCAGCCTTTAGTATAGCTGAATTGTAATTAGGGATGGGTTCACTTGTGGGGTATGTATTTGGAAAAGCTTGCTTAACTCCTTTAGAGCCAGCGTCAGGGTATTAGTGTGTGTAATAGTTGGAAATGTAAGCAAGAACTGTGTTAACAAGCTGTTTGACCTTTAATTGTATTTTAAATACAATATTTTGCACTGATTCTTCAGGAAGGCAGTGAAGGGCAGCTGTTGGTCCTTGGGGCCACCAATCGCCCCCATGCCCTGGATGCAGCACTGCGCAGGCCAGGGCGTTTCGATAAGGAGATCGAAATTGGAATTCCCAATGCCCAGGACCGGCTGGACATACTGCAGAAGCTTCTCAAGAAAGTTCCCCATTCACTCACAGCAGAGCAGTTGGTGCAACTGGCTGATAGTGCACATGGTTATGTGGGTGCAGACTTGGCAGCCTTGTGCAAGGAAGCAGGTAAGGCTTTGCTTATCTTAATCGGGATCTTACTTTACTGTTAGTCTTTTTATTAAAGAAGAAAAAATAGCATTGTCTGTACTAATAGCTTTTGAAACAATGAGGTTTTATTAATTTTTTTTTCAAGGAAAACACAGCCAAATGTGGTATATGGTGAACACCAGTCTACTGGGCAGATCAGAAAAATTCTTTAACATTCTTTGAATGTTAATAGCTTTTAAAATCCAATGTTAAGATCAATAACTGGGGAATCCCCCATGCCATTTCTAGGATATTAGACGACCTTCTCTCTTTCAGTAAACCAATGGTTTAGGGAATTAACATCCCTAAGAGTTTTTCTGCTCTCTAGCCAGACCCTTGCACACAACATCCTAAGTAGCTCTGACTACACAGCTTGTCCTGCAGGTCCTTGTTCCCAGGATGTGGGGGCTGTGGGCCTCAGTGGTGTTTCTTGTGTCTCCTCTCCATGTTTTTTTGCCCATATTCCATTTTCCTGCAGATGAGRAGCTCCTGGCAGGGGCAAGGACACYGTGTGCATCTGGCTCAGGTTGTGCAGTGAAGCTGAGAGAGCTGCAGAGCACGCCCTGAGCCAGGGGGTTGAACATGGCCCTTGGCCTCCAGAGCAGGCATAGCCCTGGAGAATTATCCATGCATCATGCAGCCAGGGTTCAGAACGTTCCAGGGAATGCTTCAGCATGAGTTCACTTCTGTTTTCATTGGATGAAATTGTGCAAGTGCRCTCTATCAGGTCCTGGGTTTTGCTRGAGTGCGTCTGCACGGTTTGTGTGTTGGACCTTAAATCTGCCCCCGAGCAGCCTTTTAAAACAGCCAAGTCAAAATATGACTCTCCAGCACTGCTCACATGTTTGGTCCCTTGTAGTTCACAAGTAAGTTTACTGCATGTGCTGGTTACTTTTATTTCCTTTGGCACTGGGACAGCTTCCTCTGGCAGTGGCAAAGAGCATGGATAATTCTTGCATTGGAATTGACTGTAAAAATGACAGATGTTTTATTAGGGTGATGGCATCTGGAACAGCAAGGATTTTACTTGCCAGCTTCYAAAATTTTTAAGAGATAGCTCTGAAATATGAATTTGTGGAGTTTTTATGGATCAAGAAGAAATATATGAACACAGACTGTTTTACAGCTCTTTTTTGGCTTCAGTTGTGTTTTAAGCTCTGTTTTAAGTTAGAAAACATCATTATTTTTTCCTGCTTATATATATTTGTTTTAAYGAAAAGATAAACTCTGTTTTTATTTTCTTTCCCCTGTGTTTTTGGAAGCCTGTTAGTCTGCCTGGGTCTCAGTACTCACACAGTAAACACTTAACTAATGTAATCTAAAGTTCTCAGTGAGAAGTGTTGTGGTTTCGATTCCAAACACGACCCAGCTGAGGTTTTACTGGTGCATGTGCGGATGGATTTTGGGCACTTAATGATCCAGCTACAAATAGATTATATTTACCCACTTCATGAGTACCTCTTAGAAAATAAATTTGGAATGTYGTGCAGATTGAACACTATGTAGATAAAAAACTTTGGTTATCTGCCTGTGACTGATGGCAGGACATGCTGTTATGCAGGAGCTTTGCATCCAAAGCCAGTGATGGGAATGAGGGAAGGAGAGTCTCCTTCCTTTTGCTCCTCTTTCCTCAAATTTGAATCCATGCTGTTGTATTTCCCTGTCGTTTGTTAATGTGGGGTGACCTCTGCTGGGGAAAATACAGTCCAGCGCCGTTAACTCCTTGTAGACCACGTGAATTTTTCCTCTTCAAGAAGCTGCAGAAACAGGAGTCAGGTGAACTGTTAATAAACAGATCTTAAGTTGTTCATCATCTAAGAACCTTCTTAGTTGGAGTCTTGAGTTTTTTTCCTCCAGTTAAACTCTTTATCTGTTTTTTTATATTACATTTTCAACACCTTGTAAAATACTACTTCTTTCTATGAACTGAACTTAGCAAAGACTTTTATAATGTAATATTTCTCCTCAGCAGAGGAAGATTCCTTTATGTGGCAAATTTTCCAGTGTTTTGTCTAGTCTTGTGTGTTGTTCCAAAATACATGGGCTTCTATTGCTTCAGTACAGTGGGCCAAGCTAGCTTGCTGTCCAGGAATGCTCTCTGATATTCAGCCTAAATTTTCCTTGTTTAGTTTTATCCCATTATTTCTATTTACATCCTTGTATAACACGTTTGCTCTCCCTCCTTAGTGTTTACAGCCTTCAGATATCTCTAGGCTGTTCTCATGTCCCCTACCTCCTCATTCATTACTGAGCCAAACTATAAATATTTAGCTCTTTTAATCTTTCTTCATAAATAAGTCCTTCCTGCCTTCCGAGAAATTGTGTTGGTTTTCTCTGAACTGCCTCCAGTTTGTCAATAGCATTTTTGGTGATGTAGGGCTTAGAATTGAACATAATATTTCAGATTAATATATATTACAGCATAAAACTTAGTRTAAACATATAATTAAGGTGACATGCACATTGCTAAATAGCCAAAATGCTTGGTACTCAGGCAATATCTGAATTAAGAATTTTTTCACAAATTTTGAGGTTCGTTGTGCCATATTCAGAGTTGATATGTGCATGAGTACAGATGAAATATGGAAACTAGGCTAGGAAAATGATTTCRGAACACAGGAATACATGTTTGGTTTTTGGGACAGGATTATTGTTTGCTGATTGTATTTCTGTTGTGGTCTGTGAGAGACTCTTGAGTCTTGCATACCCCGTTTATATCCTTGGGTTTGTGGCTGGAAAGCCTGAAAGATTGCAAACTAAATATGTTTATATTCTTTAATATAAAGTTTAGATAATTTGCAGAGGACTCATCTTTCCTTATCTTTCTACTTCAACTATTGTTTCTTTAAACRTGTGTATTGTGTATATACTGCTAATATAAACCAAGGGTGTAGTAATAAGTGTAACATGGTAAATGTAGTATTTATAGGGCTTTTGCATTTCTCAGGCAATATCTGAATTCAGGTTTCCTCAGATACTTCATTTTAAGAGGTTTGGTGTTTGCCTTCTGTGTAATTTTGAATATCATTTGTTAATGAAAAGTAAATAACCATTGTAGAATTAAACATATTCCAACTGTTTTTTTTGGCAGAATGTGTTTGTTCTCCAGTGCAAGATTTGCTTAGTGGTACTGCTGGGGTCAGGCAGGAAAGTTTCATGTTCTGTTCAGCAACTCTCYATTTTCATGGGAATTGTGAAAAAGTTTTGGGAGCCTGTAATGTTCATCTTGTGCTGAATGTTTCTAGGCTCTTGTGTCATTTGGTGTGATTCTCTACTGCCTAGCAAGATGTTTGTGATATCCACAATTAGCTGAAGTTTTTGTGAAGGTAACAGCAAACTGGAAAACCTGCAGGCTGCATGCGGGGCGCTGGGCCCCATCCTGTGTACGTAGCTTGCAGTGGGCTCCTCTTGGTAGACTCCCGAGGACTTGAGTACCATCCAAGGGATTCATACATAGAATTCTTAGTTGGGAAAGGTCTACTGTATCTTAAATTATTTAGTAGGCTGGTTTTTAGTGTGAATAGCTACCTTCTGAATTGTTTTATCTCAAGCTGTGGAGTGTATAGAAGATAGACTGTCATATCCTTGCATATAATGTCAGTGTTTATACGCCCTTGCAATCTTATTGCTTTGCCTTTATTTAATTTGCCCTGTGGTCTTTTATTAATTCTCTGAAAAATTATAATGGTTTTATTTTATTGGCGAAGATAAGCACTGTAGTTCTTTTTTTTTTCAAAAAAACATATGAAATGTTAATTATGAAGCAGAACATGAATGGTATAAACTGTACTGAATGTTAGAAGATGCTTAGCAACAAAGGTTTCCAAATATAGCAATTTATTATAAACTTATCCTTCTATGGCTGCCTGTAGCATTTCAAGAGGGTGAATATAAATATAGCTTGATTTCTTCAAGGAGTGGGTTCAGTCATATTGTTTACAGAGAAAGGAAGTATTTGCTTTGTGACTCTCAGAATTTATCTTGAACATCCTTGTTCGTTACACATCATTTCAGTGTGCTGATATAAAACACTTGGGCTGTGATAAGATAGCATCATGAGGAGAGGAAGAACAAATGGCTTTGTTTAAATAGTGGTCTGTCTGGCAATAACATCGATTTGCTTCCAGTAAGGATGCTGCAACTGCTGAGCCTTTGAGACTTCTCTGAAGGAAAGAGTGCTGGCTTTATTTGGCATCAAAAGTTTTTTAATTGCCTGGAAAAGGTATCACCCTGCTTATCTTTTAAGATTAGAAAGACAGTTTACGACAATWAACCAATTACACAAAATCTTAGAGAAATAAGAGATTGAGATGCATCTTTGACCACTATAAATCAGCATTACTCTGCTGAATCCATGCAGCCACTTGCACAGGCATATGATGTGGTCTGTTGTCCCATGCTCATARTTTTGAGTCCTGTTGTTTGGAGGTCTTATTGTCTGCTTCATTCATTTGCCCCTTTAATTATATCCGCATGCTGATGAATAWTACAGGATGGAGAGGCTTTATGCTGTTCAATCCATTGCTGTGTATATTGATTTTATGAGGGTGTTAGATCTGTAAAGGTGTAATTTGTTTAGGAGGATAATGCACTCAGGTTTTGTTGGAGCTGAGAAACTTCCTGTTTTATCTTCCATAACCCAAAAAAGACTTTCTGCAATCCACTTGCATTAAAAATAAGAATTAAAAATCAATAATCAACTGAAGTACTGTCTTTTAGGTTTTTTCTGGTTTTGCCTGTAATTGACAGGGAAGTGATTTCCCCTGAAGCCCAGGAATGTCTCTTTGTTAGACCTATGTGGATTTTTTCCCCCCAGCTCCTGCAGTTGTGGTAGCCTGGCCACCTGCAGGAAACATGAGCCGTGTGGGCTAATGTGATCAACAGTGAGGCTCTGTGCACCCCGAGGAGCAGCCCTTGACTGCTCTTTCAACCACACAAATGCTGCCTTCAATGCATGCCTTCCCAGCCTCCTATCTCCA